TTATTTCAGAATAGAACATTCACATAACAAAAACCAGGAAGGGTGGTCAAGAGGGGTGGCGGCTCCTTCCAAGCTCACAGAGCAAGCAAGTGGCAGCGCCTAGTTTTGAAGCACTGTCGAGGGAGGCTCCAGGCCCAGGGAAGGGCTCCCTTCACCCCCTCCTTCCCCTCATTCCTTGGCTCAGCTGCTCTGGGGCATACGCAGGGTAGGGAGAGCAGATCTGTGCTTGGGCGGGGGATAGGAATCCAGGCCGAGAGACCTAGGGTTGCTGTCTCGTACACGGCTGTCGGCGGCTCCCCAGCAGGAACGGATGGACATGGCCTAGCAGATGACACAGCTGCTGCTTCTGGCCTTGCTGAATGCCACGTGGGGTTCCCAGTGCAGGACTCCATGGGCCAGGACAGATTTTTCTCTCTGTGTGCGTGGACACCAAGCACCACTAGACAAAGCCAGACTCTGAGGACAGGTTGCAATGACCATGTGAGGCTGGAATGGGGCCCGGGGCAGGTAAGGGGCTGACCCTGACAGGGGAGAAGTTGGGGGATGGAAAGATCAGCCATGGGGTGTGAGGGAGGCAGGAGAGGGGTTGGGGAATCTAGCAAATCTCCAGCAGTGGAGGGACTGTATGTCTTGTCCCCACTATGAGCCAGGTGCTTTCCTCATACCATGGCGGGGAACGTACTCCAGGAGCACGTGGTGCCCTCTACCTATGCAAATGAGGAAGCAGGCTCCGAAGGACACATGGGAACTGAGGAGAGGAATCAGTGTGCTTTTCCCTGCCTTAATTGGAGCTCAAGGACAAGGTAGAAGAGAAGATAGATCCCCCATGGCCATGATGCAGCAAAAGCACACACACAGGCCAGGTCCCCACCCTGTGAGCTCTTGAACAGGAAGAAAAAAATCAGATATGCTGGGGAGATTTCCCAGTAAAGGGGCCATTGACCTTGGCTTTGGCTGATAAGTAAGAGTTTTCCTGGAAAACAAAGCAGGAAAGAGCAGTCGGCAGAGGACAACCTGTGCACAGGTGGGAGGATGATGGCACAGGAAGTGGCAGGTCCACTGTGGCCAGAGCCAAGGATGCTGCTGCCATCCAGAAGGGGAGGTGGGGCCAAGGCCTCCACTGCATAGGGAAGGCCCCTGAAACAGCTTGGGGAATCTGAGCTTGAACTTGGACTCCAGGCTCAGGAGAGACCAAGCCTTTACTTCTTTCCGGCCCCCTTTTCTGTTCCCCGTCAGGTTTCACACTGCTGACTGTTCCCAGGGAAAGACTGAGGCATGGACAGACTCTAGGGGCTTAAAGTATAGACAGGGAAGCCCAGAAACCCCATGATGCCTGGGTCCTTTTTTTTTTTTTTTTTAAGATTTATTTATTATTTATTTGAAAATCAGAGTTACACCGAGAGAGAAGGAGAGGCAAAGAGAGAGAGAGACAGAGAGCTCTTCCATCCGCTGGTTCACGCCCCAGATGGCCGCAATGGCGGGAGCTGCGCAGATCTGAAGCCAGAAGCCAGGAGCTTCCGGGTCCCCCACATGGGTGCAGGGGCCCACGGACTTGGGCCATCTTTTACTGCTTTCCCAGGTCACAGCAGGGAGCTGAATCAGAAGTGGAGCAGCCAGGACTTGAACTGGCACCCACATGGGATGCTGGCACTACAGGCAGCGGCTTTACCCACTATACCACAGCACCAGCCCCAGGACATCTGGGTCTTATTCAACATGTCCTTTGCTTTTTTTCCTTTATTGTGGTAGAAGACATATTACATAAAATTTACCATATGAGCCCTTTGAGATTGTACAGTTCAGTGACATTAAGTAGATTTATCTTGTACAACTATCACCAACCACTCCCTTTACTTTTTCTTTTATTGTGCTAAAATGTGCCTTACATAAAACTTCCCATTTTAATCATTTTTAAAAGGTTATTTATTTATTTGAAAGGCAGAGAGAGAGAAAGAGAGAGCTCTTCCATCTGCTGGTTCACTCCCCAGATGGCTGCAATAGCCAGGAATGGGACAGACCTAAGCAAGGAGCCAGGAACTCCATCTTGGTCTCCTACATGGGTGGCAGGGGCCCAAGAACTTGTCCATCATCTGCTGCCTCCCAGGGGCCATGAGCAGGGAGCTGCATCAGAGGGTGAATAGCTGGGACTCGAACTGGCACTCTAAGAGCCCTCTGGTGCACCTCCCCTTTGCCAAGAAGTGGCGCAGGCACACACCTCTGAGACACACAAGAGCACAGTTCTGATTGCCATCTTTGTTGAGCCAATTTCCATTATGTTCATTAACTCTTTCAAGGGCCCCTGGCTGCTCAGTCAAGCAGGAAGTGGCATGGATTTTGCCTGGCGACTGAGAGTTGGGCTATCCCAGGAAAAGCATAAGCCGAGTCACCCAAGCCTAGAAGCACGTTCTGGGGAAGGTGCGTTGGGCCTGGACTGGGATGTTGGAGAAGCCTAGATTTGGTTCCACTCCTTTGGATTCATTTACATTTTCCCTGAGTGTCCAGACCTGTCACATCTCCCCTGTCACTTGACCCTGGGTGTTAATTCATTCCAGAGATTATAAGTAATTGGGTTGGGGTCAGCACTGTGGTGTAACGGGTTAAAGCCCTGGCCTGAAGCGCCAGCATCCCATATGGGCGCCAATTCTAATCCCAGCTGCTCCTCTTCCCATCCAGCTCTCTGCTATGGCCTGGGAAAGCAGTAGAAGATAGCCCAAGTCCTTGGGCCCCTGCACCTGCATGGGAGACCCAGAGGAAGCTCCTGGCTTCAGATCAGCTCAGCTCCGGCCGTTGCTGCCATCTGGGGAGTGAACCAGTGGATGGAAGACCTCTCTGTCTCTCTCTCTGTGTAACTCTGACTTTCAAATAAATAAATAAATAAATCTTTAAAAAAAAGATACATCTTTCTAAAAAATTAAAAAGGAAAAAAGAAAAGATGTCTCTTGGGGAGCCCATATGCTGTATCAGAGTGCCTGGATAGTCCCCGCTCTTCTGCTTCTGCTTCCTTCGGCTTCCTGCTGATCCACACTGTGGGAGGCAGCAGGTGGTGGCTCAAGTGCTTAGGTCACTGCTGTCCACACAGGAGACTCAGACTAACTTGTGCTCCTGGCTTCAGATTTGGCTGTTGCAGGCATCTGGGGAGCGAACCAGTGGGTGAAAACTTTCTGTGTTTCTCTCTGTCTCGCTGCCTTTCAAGTAAAATGAAAATAACATAAATAAAAATTAAAACAAGGCTCTCTAAACAAATGAAAAAAATGACATTGTTTCTGAGATCTTCTCATGTTGATCTGTCGAGATCCAGTTCATTTTTGTAATTGTTAGGTAAGTGCTGTGTATATGGCACGTTGAGGTCAGGCCCCTCCTCATGGATATTTGTGGAAGAGGCTTCTATGTTCTGATGTTTCTGAAAAGCACCAGCTGATTGTTTTGTAGAGTGTTCCTCCATCAGGTGTATTTGTGTCCTTGTGATTAAACTGAAGGTACATGTTTTTGTCAAGGATGCCCCAAAGCAACGCTCTGGACTTGGTATATTATAATGGGGAGCTCAAGATAATAAAATAACAAAACCAAAAAGATCACATGGTATTGGGTTTTCCTGTTCCTGGTGAATTTTTTAAAGGTTCATTTATTTATTTGAAAGGCAGAATTACAGAGAGACAGAGGCAGAGAGAGAGGTCTTCCATCCATTGGTTCACTCCCCAAATGGCTGCAATGGCTGGAGCTGGACCAATCCAAAGAAGAACTGGCGCACATATGGGATGCCGGCACTGCACCTGCTACGCCACAGTGCCAGTCCCTGTTCCTGGTGAATTTAACTCTGATCTCTTGGTGGAGAGCTTGTCTGCCAGGTTTCTCCATTACTATTTTCCGCTTGGTAATTGGTAAGTGTGCTGTGGGGAGGGACTGTGAGAGCTGGACGGACCCCCTTGTCAGCACACCTTGGCCTACAAGTCCTGCCAGCCGGCTTTCCTCCTGCCCACATCTGCTCCTCCCTTGCCTTCTCCCCACCACCTGGACTCCAAGAGCAAAAACAGGAAGTTTTCATCAGTGGCTGGGGCAGTGATGTGTCTCAGCCCAGACTCCTGGATGCTATGGAAAGATACCTGAGTGGGTGGGTGAGTGACAGGAGGATGGGGCGGGGGAGGGGGATCCCTGAGCCTTTAAACAGCTGAGGTTGTGGCCGACGCCCCAGCTCACTAGGCTAATCCTCTGCCTGCGGCGGCGCCAGCACCCTGGGTTCTAGTCCTGGTTGCTCCTCTTCCAGTCCAGATCTCTGCTGTGGCCTGTGAAGGCAGTGGAGGATGGCCCAAGTGCTTGGGCCCTGCTCCTGGCTTCGGATCGGCCATTTGGGGGCATGAACCAATGGAAAAGGAAGACCTTTCTCTCCGTTTCTCTCTCACTGTCTAACTCTGCCTGTCAAAAAAAAAAAAAAAAAAAAAAAAGCAGCTGAGGTTCTAATCCGAAGAATCAGAGCAGCTGTGATTTTGCAGCTGGAGGTGAGGTGAGTTGGGCACGCGGGAAGCCCTAGCTGCCTGTAGCCCTGGGAAGCTGGCAGCTCCTGCTCCAGCCCCACCTCATGGGTGTAACAGGACAGGAGTGCAGGAAGTGGATGGGATTCTTCCTAAGAATCCTGGCAGCTCAGGCTGCAAGTTTTTTTATCGAGCCTGAGTGCTGGGGAGAACACAGAATAAGTGGGGGTTGGGGACTGGTCTGAGGCCCACACTCTTAATCAACTTCTCTCACCCCCCACTGAGGCCTGGCTGGGGATCACATGCAATGATTAACTGCTGAGTGGCCTTCGCCCCATCCCAGGCTGCACTCCTAGGTCCCATTCTTGCGATCTGCCCCACTGCCCGTCTCCTAGGCCACTAAACCGCTGCTGGCCTCCTGGAATGAGACAAAAGTGTGGAGCTAGCAGAAGCTGGAGCCAGACCTGGAGCTGCCTCCTCTCCCAGGTACGCACTCAGCAGCCCCATGCAGGCTACACATCCTTTGGTATGCAAGTGTTAAAGAATTTGCTGAACTGGGAGGGTCCATTGTTGACCTGAAGCCCGGAGGCTGAAGCCCAGCCGGTGGAGCAACTCCAAGTCAGTATCTGCCGGGAGCTAGAACCCAAGGTTCTTTGCCTTTCAGCCCAGAACCGACTGCTCAGCAGTTCCAGTCTGCACCCCTGGGTGGGGGTGTCCCAGGTACCTCTAGATCTGAAGGGGAGATCAGGCAGGTGCGCAGGTGGCAACGTAGGTCACAGGTAGAGGGGAGAGCTTTGGTTTCCAAACACAGCCGCAGCAGGAGAGATACTCAGCATGGCACAGTTGGGGTTGGGGGCAAAGCTGAATGAGCTCTGGGCTGTTTGGAGGGTCAAGTGGTCCCTGCTCAGCTGATCCTGTTAGGGTGAAACAGTGGTGGAGAAAATATTATTGCCTCGGTTCTTTGTCTCACATGGAAGAAGAATTTCCAAGCGGACCAGCAGAGACTTAAAAGCAAGGTTTATTAGAGTCAGAGATCTCCAGTCAGCCATGGAGTGGGTTCCAAGAGAGGAAAAACCTGAAGGGGCTGATGGTAGTGGGGTTTTTAAGCACATTTTGGAGGGAAAAAAAAAAAAACTTCACAATCAGCTTGACATTCAGCTACAAGGAGGGGACAAAGCCCATCAAAAGAACTGATTGGCAATCTTTTTACCTTCTCTGTCTCGCTAGGATAAAACAAAAAAGCCATCACAAGGGTGGGATACCTAATTTGTTTCCCAGTAAACTGGAAGCTCAGAAGGGTGGAGCCACCACTCCCTTGCTGTACTCATGATAAGACTAGAAGCTCCTGAGGAGTGGGCAGGCAGGCACTTTTGACCTTGCTAAAAGACAACCCATGGGGGAAAGCAAGCACTCCGCACCCTATTAGCCCAACTGACTGCTCACAACTCCACTGGCTGCCGTTTGTTGGTTTTCCCTCCACATATTTAATCCTCAGATGAGGAGAGTGAGCCAGAAGACTTTGCGTCTGCTTTTCCCAAGGTCAAGCAGGAGGTGGAGTCAGGGCTGGATTCCCGGACAGGCTGAGTCTGGAACCTGTGCTCTCAGCAGCTAGCCTGTGGATCCCACAAGGAGCCTAATTAGAAGAATCCTTCGGGTTTCCTGACAGGACGGATTTACCCTGCCTGGGCTGAGCTGAGTGAGTGCGTGGGTCCACAGAAGCGGGATGGGGCACTGCAAGAAGTGAATGATCAAGTGAGAGCTGGAATAAACAGCGGAACAGTGGATTGTGGAGCAGGGAGCAGAGCTGGGTGGGCATTTGGTGCCAGGAATCCCTGGCCCTGCCCTGCAGAGTTGGTCCAGAGACCTGCTGAGTGCCTCGTGTGTGTGTGGGCGGGGGGGGGGGGTCCTGCCGACACCCAGGCTCTGAGGGAGATGGGAGCACTGAGGCGAGACAAGCTTGCAAGCAGGGAAGGCACGCCTCCTGGTGGAAAACGGGTGAGAGAGAGAGAGAGTGGTGGGAAAGGAATTCTGAGCATCTTGCCAGGGCCCAGGCCCCAGGCCCCAGGCTTGTGAAGGAAGAGGACAGTCACCTCCCCAAACTCCTTGTCTGTGGCCAAAGGACTGAGGGGTTGTGGTCAAGGGGAGGTCAGCTTTGTGGCCATAGACTCCGGAGCTTCCCAAGGCTACAGGGCAGTCCAACTGACTGCACCTGCCGCTTCCAGTCCTGTAACACCCCCAAGTCACTGGGGGTTTTGGGAGAGAACTACTGGATTAGGCTGAACTCAAGACTTAGCAAACAAACACAACAGTTTGCAGCTTGGGGTGGGCTTTAGCTTGGCTGTTAAGGTGCTGGTTGAGACGCCCATGTCCTGCATCAGAGCACCTGTGTTGGATACCTAGCTCTGGCTGGTGATCCCACTTCCTGCTAAGCAGACCCTGGGGAGACAGTAGTGATGGCTCCAGTAACTGGGTTCCAGTCACACAAAGGGGAGACCCAGATTGCATTCCTGGCTCCCAGCTTTGGCCCTAGTTGTTGTGGGTATTTGGAGAATGAGCCCATGGATGTGAGCTCTCGTTCTCAGCTTTCCAAATAAGAAAGGAAAAAAAGTCTGCAGCCCCAAAACTAAAGTATTTTTGAAAACTTTTACAAAAAGTCATTGGTGTCAAAATCTGACCTGAAAATTAGTGTGAGTTTATGTATAGTTTTGTTTTTCTTTTTGTTTTAAGATTTATTTACTGGGGCTAGCATTGTAACTTAGTGGATAAAGCCACCACCTGTGACATCGACCTCCCATATGGATGCAAGTTTGTCATGCCCTGGCTGCTCCACTTTTGATCTAGCTCCTGCTAATGGCCTGGGAAAAGCAGCAGAAAATGGCCCAGGTCCTTGGTCCCCGAATACCCACATGGGAGAAGACCTAGACGAAGCTCTTGGCTCCTGGCTTCAGCCTGGCCCAGCCCTGGCCATTGCAGCCATCTGGGGCATGAATCAGCAGATGGAAGATCTGTCTGTCTGTTTCTCTCTCTCCTTTAACTGACTTACAAATAAATAAATAAATTTTTTTAAAATATTTATATGTATTTATATGAAAGAGTTACAGAGAGGTAGAGACAGGTGTTCCCAGGTGGCCACAACGACCAGAGCTGCGCCAATCCAAAATCAGAAGCCAGGAGCTTCTTCCAGGTCTCCCTTATGGGTGCAGGGGCCCAAGGACTTAGGCCATCTTCTACTGCTTTCCCAGGCCATAGCAGAGAGCTGGATCGGAAGAGGAGCACCTGGGACTAGAACCAGCACCCATATGGGATGCCTGCGCTTCAGGCCAGGGCTTTAACCAGCTGCACCACAGCACCAGCCCCATAAATAAGTTTTTTTTTTTTTTTTTAAAGAATGGGGGCTGGCGCCGAGGCTCACTTGGTTAATCCTCAGGCTGCAGCGCCGGTATCCCATATGGGTGCCGGGTTCTAGTCCTGGTTGCTCCTCTTTCAGTCCAGCTCTCTGCTGTGGCCCGGGAGGGCAGTGGAGGATGGCCCAGGTGCTTAGGCCCCTGCACCTGCATGGGAGACCAGGGAGACGCACCAGGTTCCTGGCTTCGGATCAGCGAAACGCCAGCTGTGGCGGCCATTTGGGGAGTGAACCAATGGAAGGAAGACCTTTCTCTGTCTCTTTCTCTCACTGCCTTTAACTCTGTCAAATAAATAATAAAAAAAGAAAATGATGATTCTGTCAGATTATTGGGAGGACAAGAAGCAAAAGCCCCAGGCCATTATCAGGGAGCTAGATGAGAAACTGGAGCAGCCAGGACCCAAACCAACACCCTTAACGCATCGCGGCAGTGGCTTACCCTGCTGCGCCACGAGGGCCTGCCTGTGTAGTTTGTTTTTATCCCACCATTGTAACTATTTCACCACAGAATGTATGCTGGATTGTTGGGGACATGTGAATCTTACCACAGTAGTTTTTGTTAGCTTTTTTTAAATTTTTTTTTGACAGGCAGAGTGGACAGTGAGAGAGAGAGAGAGAAAGGTCTTCCTTTTGCCGTTGGTTCACCCTCCAATGGCCGCCCGGTGCACTGCACTGATCCGAAGCCAGGAGCCAGGTGCTTCTGGTCTCCCATGCAGGTGCAGGGCCCAAGCACTTGGGCCATCCTCCACTGCACTCCCTGGCCACAGCAGAGAGCTGGCCTGGAAGAGGGGCAACCGGGACAGAATCCGGCGCCCCAACCGGGACTAGAACCCGGTGTGCCGGCGCCGCAAGGCGGAGGATTAGCCTAGTGAGCTGCGGCGCCGGCCCTTTGTTAACTGTTATGCTTTCTGAACATTTTTTCTCTGAAACATTCGTCTCCAAGGATTTGAAAAAGGGACTGTGGATTTCTGGCAGACTCCCAGCTGGGTCTGCCTAACCGAAGCTCATCCTGGGTAGCACCAGTTGGCCCTCACGACTTCCCAGAGAAGTCCATCGGCTCCTGCCAGGGACTGTCTCCAGCAGGTGGTGTCTGATTGCATCCTGCTGAGGGGTGGGGGCAGGGCTTGATACTCAGAAGGTGTCAATCTAGGCTCCGCCCCCTGGGGCTAAGCCCATACCTGGAGGCCCCACCTCTGCTTTCCCCGGTGCCTCAGACCACAACTCTTCCTCCAGGGACTGACATGGCCCGGCTGGTGACCACACAGCTGCTGCTGCTGCTGGCATGGGTGATTGCATGGGGGGCCCAGCCCACGGCCTCACGGGCCAGGACTGAACTCCTCGATGTCTGCATGGATGCCAAGCACCACAAGGAAAAGCCAAGCCCCGAGGACAAGTTACACGAGCAGGTGGGCCGAGGGGTGAGCTGGGCGAGGGAAGGAAGTGTGAGACCCTGCTCCCTGGTGCGGGCAGGCAGCCACGCTGAGCAGCCCTCAGCCGGCACCAGTGAGGGCCGGTTATTTGTTCTCAAGAACTATGTGCCAGTGGCAGCCCAGTGCCAGCAGCTCACCTTTGGGCTTGTTGGGTTTCCGCATTGCACAAATAAGGAAACAGGCCCAGAGAGGAGCTTGGGAAATGCAACTGGACAGTCCCATCCTGTGGCTGGTTTTGATTTCGGGTCTTAGGTCGGGAACCGGTCCTTCAAGGATGTGAGAGGGGAAACTGTCCATTGCAGCCTGTGATCCCTTTCCTGCCGGGCCTAAAATAGCGTCCGGAGGTGGGTCTCTGACTGCCAGCAGGGTGGGCACTAAGTACTCCATTACTGCACCTGGCAAACATTTGGACTTGAAGACTTCTTGTAGGAATTATTTAGTGACATCTACTAACATCCTAGCTAAACAGTGAAATAAAATCATCAGGATGTCATAACCACAATGGGAAAGTACTTTGTAACAGGCATTTCCATATGTACGTGCTCCTTTTGACTCCATTAACAAGTTGTGATTGGAGCCCATTTGCTTTTGTTTAGAACCGCTGTGCTCACAGCAGCCCGGGGCCCACTGACAAGTGGGGGTGTGGCTTGGATACCTCAAGTAGCTTTGACGTGAACTTATTTAGCCTTTAAGTAGTTTTACGTTGTCCTCAACGCTAGCTAGGCTGTGAGTTTTCATTCATCCAATGACCATGCGCTGAGCGTCACTGGAGCTGCTCTGGGTACAGTGTAACTTACTTCCTTAACCTCTAAGTCTTTGTCAGCTTCTCCACGAGATGCAGTCTGACCAGCCTGTAACTCTTAAGTTTCCATCGCTTTGCCCTGGGAAAGCAGTTTTCTAAAGCAATTGCCATGGGTGAAGAGTCCATATTGTATCCCTAGTGTAAGGAGAAGGTGCAGAACAGCGAGGAGAGAGAATACAAACTCACAGCCAGACTGAATTTACTCAAAGAAAATAAGGTCGATCAACTACCAGCGGGCACACAAACCGAACATGTGGCAGAGGGCCCAGACCTCTGCAGGCTGGGCCTTTTTATACCTTAGGTGGGCTAGGGGTAGGAGTGGTGGTGGTAGGTGAGCTTAGACATACAGGTCTTTCAAGTTTGGCCCACCCACTTCTGAACCTGGGGAAGAATGCAGGGGGTGGGGTGGAGAACAATACAGGGTGTGAGACTGAATTCGGATTCAGCGACAAGGGATAAATTCTGATTTTATCCATCTTCTGAGCAATGAACTGATACGCCCCACCCTACAACAGTAGGAAGTAGCCAGAAAGAAATCAGTGCCCTCATCTCCTTATCTATACTCAGTCAGGATCGATGGAACAAAGACATAAACCTCAGCCATTCTAGCTCATTGCCCAAAAGAGAGATAAAATCAGAATTTATCCCTTGTCCCTGAATCCCAATTGTCTCACCCTGTATTGTTCCCACCCCACCCCTGCATTCTTCCTCACATTCAGAAGCAGGTGGGCCAAACTTGAAAGATCTGTATGGAGAAGCTCACCTCTGCCTGCCGCCCCCCACCCCACCCCTAGCCCACCTGAGATATAAAAAGGCCGGGCCTGCTGAGGTCTGGACCCTCAGTTCAGTCTGTGGGCATGCTGGCTGTTGGTCGACCTCTACAAGGTTACTTTCTCTGAATAAATTCCATCTGGCTGTGAGTTCGTATTCCTTTGTTCCTTTTTTTTTTCTTGACAGGCAGAGTGGACAGTGAGAGAGAGAGACAGAGAGAAAGGTCTTCCTTTGCCGTTGGTTCACCCTCCAATGGCCGCCGCGGCCGGCGCACCGCGCTGATCCGATGACAGGAGCCAGGAGCCAGGTGCTTTTCCTGGTCTCCCATGGGGTGCAGGGCCCAAGCACCTGGGCCATCCTCCACTGCACTCCCTGGCCACAGCAGAGAGCTGGCCTGGAAGAGGGGCAACCGGGACAGAATCCAGCGCCCCGACCGGGACTAGAACCCGGTGTGCCGGCGCCGCTAGGCGGAGGATTAGCCTAGTGAGCCGCGGCGCCGGCCCTGTGAGTTCGTATTCTGTCTCCTCTATGTGCTCTCCTTACATCTGGTGCCCGGTGTGAGGAGGCACCAATCTTCACCCCTTTTCCTTACACCCAGTGCAGTGCCTGGATTAGAGTAAGTAGGAGCTCAGTCAGGATTTTCTTGGCAGAAAAAAGACTATTTGGAGGAGTTGCTATGTATACCTTCTCCCCTAAACCTGGGTCCACTTGTGCAATGGGCAGAAAGCCAATCACTGACATTGGGTTGGTGTGGTGGGAGAAAGTAGGCATTTCTTTGCAAGTGCAGAACAAAGATCCAGGCAGTTATCTAATTCCCAGGTTCCTCCTGAGGGGTTGGGGTGAAGTTTCTTGTTGATTGAAGTTGGGGCTGAAAGGTAGGTGCGTGTTCAGCTCCTGTGCCAGTCCCTGGTCGGTCAGTGGTGCCCGTGATAAGAGGCAGCAGAACAGAGAGGAGACAGGATACGAACTTGCAGCCAGAAGGAAATTTATTCGCAGAGGTGGATGACCAACTGCCAGCCAGCACACAGGCTGAACATGTGGCTGACGGCCCAGATCTCAACAGGCTGGGCCTTCATATCTTAGGTGGGCTAGGGGTTGTGAGGGGAGGTGGGGGGCGAGAGACAGAGGTGAGTACCTTCATGCTGTTTTGTTTTTTTTTTTTAAGATTTATTTATTTAAAGTCAGAGTTTGACAGAGAGGAGAGAGAAAGAGGTCTTCCATTTGCTGGTTCACTCCCCAACTGGCCGCAATAGCCGGGTTGGTCAGTACTGCACCCATCCAGGAGCCAGGAGCTTCTTCCAGGTCTTCCACGTGGGTGCAGGGGCCTAAGAACCTGGGCCATCTTCTACCGCTTTCCCAGGCCATAGCAGAGAACTGGATCAGAAGTGGAGCAGTCGGGACTCGAACCAGAGCCCATATGGGATGCTGGCACTGCAGGCAGCGGCTTTACCCGCTACACCACAGTGCCAGCCTCTTCATGCTGGTTTGGCACCAGCTCTCAAACCTGGAAAAGACTGCAGGGGATGGAGTAGGCTGGGGAACTACACAGTGTGTGAGACTGCATAGCTCTCTTTGAAAGAACGCAGGGATGTGGGGATTAAGGGTAAGAGCTAGAGTGGCTGAGGCTTATGTCCTCGTTCCATCACTCGTGGCCTTCCTTTGATTGGTCAGGGAATTTTAGGGTGGCCAAGTGGGCTTCGGTCAGCCTGGCAGCTACATGCAGGTGGCAAGTGAGACCCTGTGAACCAATGCTGGTCATTTAGATGTTAATTACTGGAGAGTTTTCCTAGGCCATTCCTTCCATTCAGTAAATTCCTTTTGGTAAGTGGTTAATCCTAAAGGCAGGGCAAGGACTCTGGGGTAGGAGGCTGTCTGGACACATACACACACAACACACACACACATATACCCCCGCCGTGATGTTCTGCCTCTGCTTTAGGGACACAGAAACAGGGGTTCTGTTTTAACTTGAACTAATGGGCCGGCACCACGGCTCACTAGGCAATCCTCCACCTGCGGCGTGGGCACACCGGGTTCTAGTCCCGGTTGGGGCGCCGGATTCTGTCCCGGTTGCCCCTCTTCCAGGCCAGCTCTCTGCTGTGGCCAGGGAGTGCAGTGGAGGATGGCCCAAGTGCTTGGGCCCTGTACCCCATGGGAGACCAAGATAAGTACCTGCCTCCTGCCATCGGATCAGCGCGGTGCGCCGGCCGCGGCGGCCATTGGAGGGTGAACCAATGGCAAAAGGAAGACCTTTCTCTCTGCCTCTCTCTCTCACTGTCCACTCTGCCTGTCAAAAAAAAAAAAAACAACTAATGAATTTCGTCCTGACTGCACCTCCTGGGCACCCAGCCTCTGAGAGTCTCCTCCCCAGAGAGGGCCCCTATAGCAGTGGTTTCCCTGGATGCCTTTGGCGAGGTGGGGGAACCGAGTGCTGCAAGAAGGGAGACTGCCAGTGGCACAGTCTGACGCTGCTGGCTGTGCACTTAGCCCTGTGTCTTCCCCATCCAGTGCAGTCCCTGGAAAAAAAAGGCCTGCTGCTCCACCAACACCAGCCAGGAAGCCCACAAGGACATTTCCTACCTGTACAGATTCAACTGGGACCACTGTGGCAAGATGGAGCCCGCCTGCAAGCGGCACTTCATCCAGGACACCTGCCTGTATGAGTGCTCCCCCAACCTGGGGCCCTGGATCCAGCAGGTACGAGTGTCCTCCTGGAATCTCCATCCTAGCCAAGGGGCTTTCTAGACTAGACGGTGCCGGCAGCTCTGGTCCTATCACAGCTGTGTTGGCTGAGCCTTTCTTCCCTATCAAAATCTCCCAGGTGGACCAGAGCTGGCGCAAAGAGCGGGTCCTGGATGTGCCCCTGTGCAAAGAGGACTGTCAGCGCTGGTGGGAGGACTGCCGCACCTCCCACACCTGCAAGAGCAACTGGCACAAGGGCTGGAACTGGACCTCAGGTGGGGGCTGCAGTGGGGCAGGGAGGGAGGTGTTTGTGTAGTTTTTTATTATTTATTTATTTAAAAAGGTACAGTTACAGAGAGAGGGAAAACAAAGGGAGAGACAGAGACTCTTCCATCTGCTGGTTCATTCCTCATATGGCTACAATGGCTGGGTCTAGGCCAGGCTGAAGCCAGGAGCTCCTACCTGCTCTCCCACCTGGGAAGCAGGGACTCAGGCACTGGGCCATCTTCTGCTGCTTTCCCAGGCCATTAGCTGCGAGCAGGATCAGAAGTGGAGCATCTGGGATTCAAACCAGTGCCCATATGGGATACTGACATTGCAGATGGATGGCAGCTTGACTCGCTATGCCACAGCGCTGGCCCCTGGAGGGAGGTATTTGGAGGGGGAGGTGTAAGGGTGTAGGATGGATATGCAAAGGTTTCTGGAGTCAGGACTGACAGAACCAAAGGTCCTTCTTGGCTCAGTGGCTAAAAGTCTTCCCTCCTCCCTGTAGGATTTAACCAGTGCCCGGTGGGAGCTGCCTGCCACCCTTTCCACTTCTACTTCCCTACGCCTGCTGCTCTGTGTGAAGAGATCTGGAGTCACTCCTACAAGGCTAGCAACTACAGCCGAGGGAGCGGCCGCTGCATCCAGATGTGGTTCGACCCGGCCCAGGGCAACCCCAATGAGGAGGTGGCGAGGTTCTATGCTGAGGCCATGAGTGAGGCTGCGCTCCACAGGGCCTGGCCTCTCCTGCCCAGTCTGGTCCCTCTGCTGCTCTTTCTGCTCAGCTGAGTGTCTTTTGTATCTCATTCTTGGACATCCTTCCCCTGTTTATCCCCATGGCTCGCAACTACTGGGTTCCTGCTCCATGGCGGGGCCACTGACAGCAGGTTCAAATAAACCAGAAAATCCACATGTGCCTTGCAAATTATTTGGGACTGAGTGGGAATGTTTTGCTTCCCAATTCCCATTGATTGAAGCTGCTTAGAGTTGATCAGTTCCCAACTCTAACACCTGCTGAGTATGAGCTCAATACTTATCCATTCTTCCAACCAAGGACACATTCATAGTTCTCAATTTCATTTTTCACTGCAGCTCTAACCAAGTGATGAGCCCACGATTTTCCCATTTGAATTGGGCCATGCCTTCCAGGATTGACACCTCTGGTGTGCTGAGTTTCCCCATAGAAGAGGTGGAGATGTCAGCTTCAAGAATGGTTTAGATGGGTGTTGGGAAGAGGGTAAGGTGCTAGTTAGCTGGAGCCATAGCCCACTAACAGCTGATACCCTCATAGCACTATCTGCCAGTTATACACTTATATTTTTGGAATATAATTTTTTATACTTATTCCAATAAGTTATAGACACTATTTGCATTTTACCTGTGTGGAAACAAATACATAAATTAAGGAACATGACCAACACCACCCCCTGAGTAAGAGCTGGGATTCTACCCCAGCCAATGTGGCTCTTGAGCACAGCTCTTCCCCTTGTGGAGTGAGCAGATCTTACCATTTGCAGGGAAGCTGGAGCTATGTTGGTCTGGCAGAGTGAGGACTGGATCACAAACTTAGACTCCTAAAACAGGTCCCAGATCCATCATTGAAAGGGTTTTAGGCAATATTCTCACATTATGTATAACTTGTAGCTGGTTATAATAAAATAGTTTTTACAGTAACATACCTAATATCCTGGTGGCTTAATGCAATTTTTTAAAATAAAGATTGTATTTATTTATTTGATTCCCCTGTTTCAGCCCCATGGCTCCCAACTATTGGGTTCCTGCTCCATGGCGGGGCCACTGACAGCAGGTTCAAATAAACCAGAAAATCCACATGTGCCTTGCGAATTATTTGGGACTGAAGGGGAATGTTGCTTCCCAATTCCCATTGATTGAAGCTGATTCATCCCCAGATGGCTGCAATGGCTGGAGCTGAACTGATCCAGAGCCAGGAACCAGGAGCTTCTTCCAGGTCTCCCACACAGGTACAGGGGCCCAAGCACTTGGACCATCTTCTGCTTTCCCAGGCTATAGCAGGAGCTGGATTGTAAGAGGAGGAACCAGGACTCAAACCGGTGCCCATGTGGGATGCTGGTGCCATAAGCAGAGACTTAGCCCACTATACCACAGCTCTGGCCCTGCAACTTATTTTATTGTTAAAGAGTTATTTACTTGAAAGGCAGAGTTACACAGAGAAAGAGAAAAAGATCTTCTATCTGCTGGTTCACTCCCCACATGGCACAACTGGGACTGAGTCAAGCCAAAGCCAGAAGCCTGGAACTCCATCAGGGTCTCTCACATGGTGGCAGAGAATCAAATAGTTGAGCCATCTCCCACTGCTTTCCCAGGCTCACCAGCATGGACCTCGGTTGGAAGTAGAACAGCTGGGTCTTGAACTAGTCCTCCTGGGATGCCAGCATTGCAGGTGGCAGTCTAACCTGCTGCACCACACTAGCTCCTAACATTTATTTCTTGTTCAATCTATAAATTTTTTTAAAGATTTTATTTATTCCAGTGGTAGAGTTAAACAGAGGGTGAGACAGAAAGATCTTCCTTCCATCTGCTGGTTCACTCCCCAAATGGCCACAATGGCTTGAGCCGCACTGATCTGAAACCAGGAATTTCTTCTGGATCTCCCACATAGGGACAGGAGCCCAAGCACTTGGGCCATAGTCCACTGCTTTCCCAGGCCATAACAGAGAGCTGGATCAGAAGAGGAGCAGCCAGATACGAACTGGCGCCCATATGGGATGCCAGTGCTGCAGGTGGAGGCTTAACCTACTACTCCACAGCTCTGGCCTCTCAATTTACAATGTTTAATGTGTGTTGTTAGGGAGTCTGCTTCTCACTCAGGGACCCAGGAGGATGGTGGCTCCATCTCGTCAGTGAAACAGAAAAAAGGAAGTAGGGGTGGATTCCATAGAGATTCTTCAAATTTCCATCCATCCCTTGTTTTGCTGGCTAAATCAGGTCATGGCCATGCAAGGTCTAAAAAATATAACCTGGGCCCGGCACCGTGGCATAGTGGGTAAAGCCGCTGCCTACAGTGCTGGAATCCCATGTGGGTGTCCGTTCAAGTCCCAGCTGCTCCACTTCTGATCCAGCTCTCTGCTATACCCTGGGAAAGCAGTAGAAGATGACCCAAGTCCTTGGGGTCCTGCACCTGAGAGAAGCTCCCGGCTCCTGGCTTCAGATGGGCACAGCTCCAACCATTGTGGCAATTTGGGACATGAACCAGAGGATGTAAGACACCCCACCCCTGCCTCTGCCTCTCTAATTGTGCTTTTCAAATAAATAATCTTAAAAAAAGAAAAAAATATATAACCCTATCACATACCTGGAAGGCAAGGAAAATCATAAGGTTTGCAAGCAAACTCAATGACTACTACAAAGATCTTTTCATCTTATGGCCAGTTTATATTTCTGGCATGGTCATAGCTACAAATTGCATTTCTCAATTAGATGCCAATAAGGAAGAGGACCAACTTTGAGCTGCTGTAAATAACTTTTTTTTAAAAGATTAATTTTTTTATTTGAAAATCAGAGTTACACAGAGAGAGAAGGAGATGCAGAAACAGAGAGAGGTCTTCCATCCGCTGGTTCACTCCCCAGTTGGCTGCAATGGCCAGGGCTGCGCCAATCTGAAGCCAGGAGCCAGGAGCTTCTTCTGGGTCTCCCACATGGGTGCAGGGGCCCAAGGACTTGGGTTATCTTCCACTATTTTCCCAGGCCATAGCAGAGAGCTGGATCGGAAGTGGAGCAGCCAGGACTCAAACCTGTGCTCAAATGGGATGCCGGCACTGCAGGTGGCGGCTTTACCTACTATCACATGGTGCCAGCCCCTGCAAATAACTCTTATCATCCTAAAATATGGAGCAATCTCCCAACCACATGCTAGACAGTCTTGTGGAAAATGCCAATCTATGTCTTATGCTCTGCAGAACCAGTGACCATTTACAATTATACCTGTTACAGATACATCAGCACTGGTGAAATTCAAGAGTAGAATCATCTCAATTTAACAAAAGTTATCAAAAGTATTATGCAGGGGCCTGCGCTGTGGTGCAGCGGGTTAACGCCCTGGCCTAAAGCGCCAGCACTGGTTCTAGTCCCGGTCGGGGTGCCGGATTCTGTCCCGGTTGCCCCTCTTCCAGGATGGCCCAAGTCCTTGGGCCCCTGCACCTGCATGGGAGACCCGGAGGAATCTCCTGGCTGCTTGCTCTGGATCAGTGCAGCTCGGGCCATTGCGGCCAACTGGGGAGTGAACCAGCAGATGGAAGACTTCTCTCTCTCCGCCTCTCCTTTCTCTGTGTAACTCTGACTTTCAAATAAATAAATAAGCAAATCTTTTTTTAAAAAAGTCTATTATGCAGTTTCTGTTTCCTTTTTTTATATTATGCAGTTTCTGAGCCATTAATGAAAATACTTACCTGAACCCCATTCCCTGTATTTGCTGAATTCAAATTCTAAGGAGCCATTGGCTTGAAGAATGTATTACTTCTGGGTCTCCCACATGTATGGAGAGGCCCAAGCCCTTGAGCCGTCTTCCAGTGCTTTCCCAAGCACATTGGCAGGGAGCTGGATTGGCAGTGGAGCTGCCAAGACTAGAACTGGTGCCCACATAAGATGCCGGCATAGAAGGTGGCAGCATAGTTGTGCCACAACACTGCCCCACCACCAATTAATTGATTTTTGACCAAAGGGCTAAGGCAACTCCCTGGAGAAGTGGAGCTGAGTTTAATGATTTTCTGTGTCCAAAATAAAAAAAATAGGCCGGCGCCGTGGCTCAATAGGCTAATCCTCCACCTTGCGGCGCCGGCACACCGGGTTCTAGTCCCGGTCAGGGTGCCGGATTCTGTCCCGGTTGCCCCTCTTCCAGGCCAGCTCTCTGCTATGGCCAGGGAGTGCAGTGGAGGATGGCCCAGGTGCTTGGGCCCTGCACCCCATGGGAGACCAGGAAAAGCACCTGGCTCCTGGCTCCTGCCATCGGATCAGCGCGGTGCGCCGGCTGCAGCGGCGGCCATTGGAGGGTGAACCAACGGCAAAGGAAGACCTTTCTCTCTGTCTCTCTCTCTGTCCACTCTGCCTGTCAAAAAAAAAAAAAAAAAAAAATGAACTTGGATCTACTTCCTATGATATACAAAATGAAATAAAAATGGTCTATAGATTTGAATATAATAACTAACATTTTAATTTTTTAATATGTATTCATTTGAAAAGCAGAGTTACAGACAGAGAGGGAAAGACAGAGATCAAGTGTCAGCTTAACCCACTGTGCCACAACACCAGCTCCTAAAACAGTATTTTTGGAAAAAAATACCAGAAAAAACAGGAGAATATCTTCCAGACTCCATGTTAGATCAAAACTTCACCTCATCCTTTATTTCTTCTTTTGGAGTGCAAATACAGTTCATCAATGAAAAAAATTGATGAATCGGGCATGATTAAATTTCAAAACTTGCATTTTAAAAGATGCCATTAAGAAGATTAGGGGTCAACACTGGTGCAGACTTAAGTTGCCACTTGCAATGCTGCCATCCCATATCAGAATGCCAGTTTGAGTTCCAGCTGCTCTGCTTCCAATTCAGTTTCCTACTAATTCACATGGGAAAGCAATGGATGATGGCTCAATACTTGGGCCTGGGGCCGGTGCTGTGGCGTGGCGGGTAAAGCCGCTGCCTGCAATGCCGGCATCCCATATGGGCTCTGGTTTGAGTCCCGGTTGCTCCACTTCTTATCCAGCTCTCTGCTATGGCCTGGGAAAGCAGTGAAAGATGGCCCAAGTTCTTGGGCCCCTGCACCTGCGTGGGAGACCCAGAGGAATCTCCCGGCTCCTGACTTCAGATTGCCACAGCTCTAGCTGTTGCGGCCAGTTGGGGAGTAAACCAGCAGATGAAAGGCCTGTCTCTCTCT